ATCGGTATGTTACTACCTGTTGCTGGCCTTGGAAACATAAACAAATGCCTGCCATCTACCCAAACTGGCTTGTTGGAGAAAAAAGGAAAAAAAACAGTTAAAACTCTAATCTACCCACAAGACAGACACGATGCCTGTGATCATTGCTTTATTTTGAATCCCCGGGCAGTTCTTAGATAGTGATAAAATGACCATACCCAGGATTCTCCAGTGCTGCCTCTCAACACAAACCAAGGACTAGAGCCACTGCCCAGTGTAGCTTGGATCAGCCGCCTCCTCAGCCAAGGTGGGAGGTGCTGGAGGCTTCATGTTCCTAAACTTCTAAGTATCATCTTCACACCTGAATGACGTCACAGCATGAGGGTTTAAAGTATGGTTCTGTTCCTCAGTGGTCATGTGCAATGTATCCAGCCAGCTAGGGTCAATGCTAATAATGGTAATTGTCTCCAGTAATTGCTGGGAGGTAATTAATTTAAAAGGCTTAGCATAGTCGCTTGGTACGTAATCACTGACTAAATAGGACTTATTATTACCTTAAACCAGTTTGAAGTTCAGTGACAATGAGAGAAATTTTCTTCAGATCACAAAGGGCAGATGGGACTGGAACTTAACAATGTACACGTGATTTTGGCATGATGAAATGGAGACAGTCTTCCTTTAATCTCCTGTTTTCACATGAATATGAACTCACCAGTGAAACATGTCTGTCTATATATTTATGCGTATGTATGTTAACTTTCTTTTGAATGCTCAAAATACAATTACTTTTTCCAAGGCATTGCTTGGAAATTGGACCATTTATTTACCTGTTGTATATGCATACAGATAGTTTATATCTAGAACTAAATTGCTGGTGAATATAAACTATGGCATAGTTAGTCAATATTCAGTTTTCATTTTGATGGACCAAATGTCACCGGTGACAGCGACCATATTTTACACAGCTCTACGACTTCCTGAGCCTGTGACTGGGAGAATGTTGTGGAACCTCCCGCCTCAGTTCTTTCATTGTAAATTATTATTGTTGTGTGACTCAGAGAGTTGTGGGGATAAAATGTTAAAGAGAGTTTAGAGCAGTGCTTCTCAACCTTCTTAATGTTGTGACCCTTTAATACAGTTTCTCCTGTTGTGGCCACTCCCAGCCATAAAATTATTTTGTTGCTACTTTATAACTGCAATGTTGCTACTGTTATGAATCACATTGTAAATATCTGATCTGGAAGATATCTGATATGTGACCCCCAAAGGAGTTGAGAGCCACAGCTTCAGAAGCAGTGGTTCAGAACATCGTCATGATGGTCTTGGCTTCCAGGCTGGAACTGGGGGTCAGTTGGTAGAGTGTTTATCTAGCATTCACAAAGCCTTTGGTTCAAACCCTAACCTGCTTTCGGAAGACTAATGAGGAAGAGAACTGGTTGGGTAAACATTTGATCTTGCTGCAACTCCAGTAAGTGTACTGACATCCTGAGCCTTCCTTAGATGACGACTCTCATACAGTCTATCTTAGTAGGAGGTTTGAATTGCCTTGCAGCTGGTTAGGCTGTTTACTTAATAAATTTCCTTCTGACCTGGCTCCACCCTCTCTTTGGACCACAGCTGATCAATAGAAACATCTGGCTTCTCCAGGTTCACTGGCCTGGGAGGGTGGAGGATGAGAGGGTGGAGTTTTAGGCTGGGAGTGAAGACACCTGGACTGTGGTCTTACTCAAAGCTTCCCAGGGGTGTGCCGCTTCTTTGTGGGTCTCAGCTTCTGTGGATTCCTCCTGATATTGTATAAATATTGCATGCCAGGGTCCTCTAATTGCAAGAATATGCAACTAGGGAAATAATACAGTTTTCATGGACAAAGCAGTGCCACTGTGGAATGGCTTCATTGTGCTATGGCTTTCGAAATGGAGAGTGCTGGGATGAATAATCAGGATGAGTACATGGCTCTCTAAAGCCGGACTCTGCTCTTGAGTGATTTGGACAGAGTCCCCTGATGCTCTGACTCTCATGGCCTGACGCGGGTCTCTGGATAGGAGGAACTATTTTCACTTTTAGGCAGGGTGTTTCAGAGCTGATGTTTAAATCCATGTTATTCAACAGTCTTCTCGATGTTCCCAGGCCTCGGCAGGAGCAGCCCACGCCTCTCTCCACTTGTTACTGCGGATGAATGTGTCAGAGCACGTCCAGTCATGGGGAAAGCATGAGCCCTCCTACGAGCACCCCAAATCCCTCCAGGGCTGTTTTCTCTGGAACTGAGCTCAGACACTTGCCAAACTTTCGTACCAAAAATGCACTTCAAATTCCAGAGTCCTGGTTTTCGTTTTTGGGTACTTTTGTTGTTTCAGTGCTGAGAATCAAAACTAGGGCTTTGTACGTGGAAGACAAGCACAATATCACTTTGTTCCTAGGGAAAGTACCTCGTTTGGTAATAAGTGAAGCCCAGGCTATACACTGAGTGTTGAGAACTGGAATATACCTGGGTCCTTTCTAGCATAGGCAACTACAGTCAAGTGTCTTTGTTATTATTTACTTTTTTGGAGGAGGGTCTCAGGCAGTCAAAAATAACCTTGAATTCCTGATCCTCCACCTCCATTTCAGACACTGGGATCCAGCTTAATCAACTATCTTTGTAATTTAAAAACATTCAGCCATTGACAGTTGCTTCAATATACCGACCTCACTGCAAACACAGACTGGCTTATACAAGGAAATCCAACTTACAAGTGAGGACTGTGAACTTTAGGATAGCTAGGGTTTGTGCAGTCACATGACAAGTAAGGAGTCAATCTGAGACCTAAATTCCAATCTTTTGACCCCGAGGTCAGTATTCTTCCCATTAATACAGCAGAACCAGGAAGTCAATTCAAATCCGCATTCCCACACAAGCAGGAAGAAATTTTTTTGTTCCCTTACTTCATGATTCATTAGCTCCATAGGTTTGCCAATATCATTTTTTTAATGGTGGCTTAGTCATTTTCCAGACACTCTGTGGCTCATGCAGAACAAAGACAGGCAGATAGGTACCAGGGTTGTTACTGGGAAGTTTCTATGTTGTAGTAGCAGTTCAAGTGATCGGACAATGCTTTGTGGTTTTGTCTTAATATGAGCACAGAGAGCAGGAGCCTGAAAAAAAACATAATTGTAAAAGGAGCTTTTCCATTAAGGCGAGTGAAATCAATATACTCCTTTGCCAACTATTACTAAGCATCTCTTATGTGTCAAGTCCTGTTCTAGAGATTCATGTTTTTACATTAGGAAGGATTTATGAGCCGGGTGGTGGTGGCGGATACTTTTAATCCCAGCACTTGGGAGGCAGAGGCAAGCGGATTTCTGAGTTCGAGGCCAGCCTGGTCTACAGAGTGAGTTCCAGGACAGCCAGGGATACACAGAGAAACACTGTCTCGAAAAACCAACAAAAAAAAAAAGAAAAAAAAAGAAAAAAAAGAAAGGATTTATGAACAAGTATGGTTCTGTGGTGGAAATAAAAATATCCATGTGTTAATTGTAACACACTGTGCTAAGGGGATGGTTCTCAACCTTCCTGATGCTGCAGCCTTTAAGTACAGCTCCTTGTGTTAAATTTATTAAGTACAGCTCCCAGTGATAAAGTTATTTATTGCTACTTCGTAATTGTAATTCTGATACTATTATGAATTGTAACATAAATATCTGATGTGTTGGAGATCTGATATTTGATCCCCAAAAAGAGGTTGCAACCCCGCAGGTTAAGAACCTCTGTGCTAATCTCCAGGAGAGACAAGAGTGTGAAGTGTTTTCGTGCTTAAGAATCAAAGAAAGGTTAAGGGTTTGATAACATTTGACCTACATTGTAAAGGATCAATACAACTTGACAAATAAGAAAAGGGGCTGTAATCATTTCAGAAAATCAATATCAGCACTCATACCAACATATAGTGACTTTGTCTTTCGAGACCGGGTCTCTCTGTGTAGCTCTGGTTCACCTGGAACTATGTAAAGCAAAACTCACAGAGATCCATCTACCCAGCTCTGTTTCTTGGCTGCTGAGATTAAAGGGATGTGCTATCACACCCAGCCTACATAATGACGTCTTACTGGCCAGCTGTTGCATTGAGCACCGTCAGTGATTTATTTGTCTGATCCTCAGAATAAAGCATAAAAGGATATTACGCTGATTCCTATATTTTTCAAATGAGGAAAATGACCAGAAAGATGGAATGGTACAGCCAAGATTTTAACCTGGTCCATCTGACCTTAGGACCTTGTGGTTAACAATGATGACACATGCCATGGAAGAAGCAGCTAGTGGAAAGACTAGAAGGTGTGTAGATGTTTGGATGAAGAAATGGGACCATTTCAATGTGACTGAAAAATGGTACACAAATGTCTCCCTTTGTTTTCCCCGATCTACTTTTCTGTACCTTTCCCCATATTGTCTCTTGATTGTATTCATTTAGTATTAAGTACTTAGCTTGAGGGTCTGGTAATATAGACCAGCTGGTAGACTGAATGCCTAGCATCCTGGCATGCACAAAGCACTGGGTTTAATCCCCAGAACCATGTCAACTAGGCATGGTAATCCCAGTACTCTGGAGGCGGAGAGGTAAGGTGGATGCCTTTGCATAGAAGTTTTACAAGGTGGGGAAGATTGATGGAATATTGAACCTTGGTAGACAAGCTACCTTTGATAGAAACATATAAACAAAAACAACAACAACAACAAAAAAACCATTTGGTACAGTGGTTCACCTCTTTTTTTTTTTTTCCAGTTGTGGTGAGATCTTTAATGGTCTCAACTTTCTCTTTGGCCTCCAAGTTTCAACCTTTATTTTTGTATGAAGTTTCTCATACTTTGAAAACCTAACGCATAGTACTAAACATCAGCAAATCTCTCTTTTCTGATTTGAGCAACCTGGAGGGCAGGAACTTTGCCTTAGCCTCCCGTCAATCTGTCCCAAGAATATGAACATATGTCCAAAGTACACAGCGGAGGCTGATGCGGAGAATGGTAAGAAATCAAGGCATTGCTGTCCAGTGGTTTATTCTCTTCTGTAGGCTCCATCAGCAAGTGGAATGGAAGACACCTCCTACCCTTACCCCTTGGGCAACCAAAGCATTATACTCCTTCACTGCCTGCTCTGTCTGGAGGACCCGCACGTCAATGCCTTGTTTCTCCAGGTACTCCACGGTCGATGGAGGCACCTGGAAAGAAGAAAGAGAGATGAAGAAGAAGAAGGGCAAAGGAGCCCCGGAATTCTTTTCCCAGTACAAGGCGAGCGCGCGTTACAGAATTAGAACACCTGTCACTTCTCAATCATCCAGTGTGTCACCATTCCAAAATTAGGCAGAAGCCCCAGTGAGTTTCAGAAGAGCCTCTGAGGAGATGGGGTTGCATTGCAGTGGCTCAGAGTGTATGAGCATGCAGGAGGCCCGTGTTCACTCCCCAGTACCAGTGTGGGGAAAAAAGACCACTGTTACATTCCCGACTGTCTCACTACACCCTTGCTTTATCACCAGTGGAAAGGCAGGGGAAGAGCAGGATTTGTGGGTCAGCCCTAGGTTGAAGCCCCTCTAGCACTGTAGTTCTGAGTAAGGAGTCAAATTTGGGACTTACTCCTGTGATTATAAATCAGATCTAGTCATGACAGGTCCACAGAGCTGTTACGAGAACTGAGTTAAAGTATAGAAAATGTCAAACATGGTGCATATCACATGCTGTGTTAATTTTTAAAGTTTGATCAGTCTAAACAAGTCTAAAGTTGAACTTTCCCATGTGCCAAACCAAAAGGCCTTCCGCCAGCTTTTGAAAGTGTGGAAGCCTCCCGTTTGCAATACTCACATCACAGAGTGTGTGTGTGGACCACTGATATGCATATGCTCTGCAGCTCAGATGTCTTCTCAGAGCGGCCTTCTGGCCAGTCATAAGCAGCCTCTCCCAAGGCACCACCGTTTTGTCTACAGTATTTATTATCTGAAGTTATCTAGTTTGCTTTTTTTTTCATTTTTAAATAATTTTTTAGGATTTTATTATTTTATATGTATGGTGCTTTCTGTGAGCATGGAATGTAACTGATACACAGACATATATATATATATAGGCCAAATGTTCTCTGGGAATTTGAGGTCATCCTAGTATACACAGTGAATGAGTTACAGGAGAGCCAAGGCTACAAATGTGACCTTGTCTCAAAACAAACAAACAAAAAGGGACGTACCTATAGCTAAATTTCCGACTATTTTAAGTATTTTCTATAGTCTAGCCATTGAGGACTAAGCTAAATGTGGCAGATGAGGGTTTGTTACCATTATCAGTTACAAAACAGGCTTGAGAGTTGGCTCAGCAATTAAGAACACTTGTTGGATCCAGGTTTGATTCCCAGTACCCACATGTGAACTCCCAACTACAACAACTCTAGACCTTGGAATCTGCCTCTGTTGGCCTCCACGGGACACCAGGCAATACATAATGCAAAGATGTCCATGCAGGCGAGACAACATAAATACATAAAAAAAATGAGGAAATCTTTTTTAAAGTCACGGATATTTTTAATTTTTATTTTGTGTGTATGGGGGTTTTGCCAGCATGTATGCCTGTGCACCACATTTGTGCCTAGTGCCTGTGGAGCCCAGAAGAGGGTATCAGATCCCTGAGCTGTGCCTGTGGGTCCTCTCAAGGGCTCTTAGCTGCTGAGCCATCTCTGCAGGGCTCTGGGATTCTGGGGAACTGAACACAGGTCATTGTGCTTGTGAGGCAAGAGCTTTATCAACTGAGTTCTCTCTCTGCAGCAGAGATAGTGCCCAACTATTAGTGGGTAATACTAATTTTTATTTATCCTGAATATTTTTTAGCTCAATCTCTAGAGCTGAGTGAAATATTTTTAAATATGCCCTATCTTGTTTTAGTTTGAAAGATTTGTTACCAAAAGCCTTATATAGAGGGACTATTATAATGGAGGAAAAGAAACTTAAATTTAAAATTTTAGATTTATTTATTTTTAATTTTATATGTTTGCTTTCATGTATGTCTGTGCAATACCTTTGTGCTCAGTGTTCATGGAGGCCAGAAGAGGATGAGTGTTAAAGCCCATGGACCTGGAGTTAGAGACAGTTGTTAGCTGACACATTAGTCCTGGGAATTGACTCTGGGTTCTCCAGAAAAGCAGCAAGTACTCTTAACTGCTGAGCATCTCACCAGCCCCTAGTTTAAAACTTTACAATATAAATAAAGAGTGCCTTCATCAGTAGGGCGTAGGATTGCAGGGCACTTACATAAAGGATATAATTATGTAGGTCTCTATATACTTATGTGGAAAGCTGTCTATAACAATGTAAGAGGAAATATAGAAAATATATATGATATGATCCTATTTACATGTGTCTTAGTTAGAGTTTTACTGTTGTGAACAGACACCATGACCAAGGCAACTCTTATAAGGACAACATTTAACTGGGGCTGGCCTACAGATTCAGAGGTTCAGCCCATCATCTTCAAGGCAGGAGCATGGCAGCATCCAGGCAGGCATGGTACAGAAGGAGCTGAGAGTTCTACATCTTCATCTGGAGACTGGTTCCCAGGTGGTTAAGGGGAGGATCTCAGAAGCCCACCCCCACAGTGAGACACTTCCTCCAACAAGACCACACCTACTCCAACAAGGCCACACCTCCTAATAGTGCCACTCTCTGGGCCAAGCATATTCAAACTAACAAGACATGACAGGGCTGAGTCTGTAAGTATGTGTCAGTGTGAACATACATGGAGACGTGTACAAAGGATTGGAGCAGTATGAATTCTATGTGGAGACTGCAGGGACTTTCACCTTTTTCTTCTAGTTGACTCTTGAATGTTTTACAGTAAGTATATACTATTTTACAAATGAAATATACACTTATTTTTTGAACGAAGCGAAAAATATCTTGAAAGAAAACAAGGAATACTATAAGATATACTAACAAATTGTAAAGTAGTGAGCTGAGCACGCAGCTGATGCTTCTACTTCCGGCACATGAAAGGTAAAGGCAGGAGTACAGCAATGTCCAGGCCAGTCCGGGAAACAAAAGAAGACCCTGTCAAAACTAAGCTGATAAACTAGGGACAGAGCTCAGTTGTGGGGTACTTGCTGAGCATGTGTGAACCCCTGAGTTAGTCCCCAGCATGGCACTATCTGTGTGTGATAGTGCATATTTGTAATCTTAGAATTAAGGATATAGAGGCTAGAGGCCCAAAAGTTCAAAGACCAACTATAATTATGTACTCCTTAATGACCTTTTCACCCCAAAATGGACCCCATGTTTAAGTGTGGTTCTGTAAGAGTGCTTCCCTAGCTGGCATGGCCGCTCTGTACATGTGCACTCTGTGATCACACGGTGATAACATTACAGAACAACGCACTGCCCATTGTGATCCCCATTGTTGAACCACATGACTGACTGACCTGATAACCACAGAAGGTGAGAAATTCCGGAACTGAAGTATTTGTGAGAAACAGTTGAAAGAACACAATCAGGGTTGGGCACAGAAGTGTGGAAAGCCCAGCACTGACAAAGTAGAGTAGTATTCACAGTTTTAATCATCCTAGGCCATGTATTGCTCAGTAAAATGAGAGGCCATGATATTTAGAGCTGAACTCTAATGAAGGAAATACAGAACAAAGCTAAGGTCTGAGAGATAAGTGCCCGTCCTCAGGAATGTTGTAGCCATCAGAACCTACCTTCAAGGCCTCACTCATTCCTCTGCCAATCACAAGAGTCTGTACACCCTTCTCAGCAACTTCCTTTACATCTGCTGGCTGTACTCCCAGAGAATGCTCCGTTCCTGTTTCTCTCCAATCCCAAGTCAGACTGCCTCCTGGCCATACTTTGCAATCCTTATAGGTTAAGGTAGAGTCTTGCACTTTCATTTGTCCCCAAGCGAGGGAAGCAATTTTAGGGGAAGCCGTAAGTAACTGAGCTGACATGCAGCGCTTCTGCTTAGTTGTTCCTCCAGTCAGCTCTGTGCTTTACCCCTCTCTGCAGCTAGCTGAGTGGTTCTGAGCCACGGCCGTTCTGCTTGTGGTTCACCTCTTTAATCATAGCACTGGAGAGATGGAAGCAAGATCAAAAGTTCAAGGACATCTTATGTTCCACATTGTGTGAGGGCCCTCACTCAAAGGGAGGGAGGAGGGAGCAATCGAGGGAGGCAAGGAGGGAGAGAAAGAGAGAAGGGAAAGGGAAGGAAGAAGAAAGAAGAAGGAGGAAAGCAGGAAGGAAGAATTAGCTTGAGTGTTTATATTTTCCGCAGGAAGTTTAGTCCAAATCACTAGTCTTTCAGTTACTGGAAACCCAAAGGCCCAAGATTCAACTAAGTCTTACAGCAACACTATGTTGTAGAGGCAACCTGTTTTTTTCCAATGAGGCAAATGTGACTCAGGGACTTGAAATATTTTCCAAATGGTCCCAGAGCTAATGGATGATTGGGCCAATAATCCGCCCCAAGTTTCTCATACTTTAATTTCTCTATCCCTCCCTCCTCTTTCATCACCCCTCCCCCACTAGCTGTGTAGATTTGGATGGAGAAGTTGCTCAACCTCTCTGTGTTTAAATGTGTTCGCTTACAGAATGTGTTAGCAAGCTTCTCATTACTAGAAATAGCTACTGTAAAAATCAACCAAAAATGAGAAGAGATTTATTCTGGCTCATGGCCTCGGGTTTCAGTCCATTTACTTTTGGTCTGGGAATGATGCAGTACCTCACGGTGGGAGCTTGTGATAGAGGGAGCCTGCTCACCACATGATATGCAGGAAGCAGGGCAGGCTTCCAATATCCCCTCCAAGGGCACACTCCAAATGACCTAACTTCCTCCCACTGGGCCTGCCTCCTGCAGGTGTCATCACCTCCCTGTGGTGCCATGGATCAGAAGTCAAGCCTTGAACGCATAGACATTTGGGGAATGTTCACAGTCCAGTCTATGGCACAAAGTGAATATAACAAAGGATCAACACTGAAGGATCATGTGAGTCAGAAGGGTTCATATACATAAACCCTTTATAACCTGCACCCTAGACTTAACCATAATTCTATAGGAAAATAGCACTTGACTAGGAGCCAGAACCTTATGGCCTCTTTAGAGAAGAATCCTTGCCGATGTCTTTTTCTGAGTCTGCCTCCTCTCTCCCCCTCCCCCTTCATCTATTCATCTGTCCATTCATCCATCATTTATGGCCCTCCAAGGTCCTTTCTACGCAGTGTACATGGAGAGCTTGCTGAGTTTGGATCAAGGCTATGGGTGTCTCCTTATCCTAGAGTTTTGATTCCAAATGGAGGAGTTACTTCCCCTCCCAGAGGGGAGAGAGGAGGCCTGTTTGAGGAAATGCTTTGTACAGACAATATTTGCTGATTCTGTTTCTGATTTTTCCTCTTCAGTCTCTGAAGTCTTCTTTCAGCCTCTAGATTCACAAGGGATACTTTGTAAAAATAAGGAGTCATGAGGAGGGAGGTTCTGCCTCTAGTCCTTCCCCACCCACAGCTTTGGCTGGCGGCTCCTTGGTTCTTCTTTTTCAAATGATCACTATCTCTTTAGAGAATGCCAGGCCTTCTCTGAAAAGTGAGAGGCCAAAATTAGAGGAGTGCAGAGTCGTCATCCTTCACACCAATAGCTGAATAATCACAGATATCCATCAATGAAGTTCTTGTCCCATTCAAGCCTTGGAAGAATGTAAAAAAAGTAGCCATGGCAGAGTCCTGAGACAAGATGAAAACATTTCAGCCTGTGAATGGCAGTTCATTTAACAGTAGGAGATTGTTGCCCAGAATTTAGGTGCAAGATGAAAGAAATGGGTTTAAAGCAAGAAATTTAGAGGGGAAAGTTGTGTGTGTGTTTACATGTTGTATGCCTTGTGGTCTTTTGTTTTTGTTGTTTGTTTTGTTATTGTTGTTTCTGAGACAAGATCTCACTAGGATTCCTGGCTGGTCTGGAACTTGCTCTGAAGACCAAGCTGGCCTGGAACTCAGAGGGATCTACCTGCTTTGCCTCCTGAGTGCTGGGCCACCACATCTGGCTGTTTTATTTTATTTTAAAGGTCTTTCTACGTGGTTAAGGATAGACTTGAAGTCACAATGTATCCCAGTTGGACTTGACCTTTCAGCAATCTTCCTTGCAGGGGCTCCAGCAGGACCAGGCATGGCACACATGGCTCCGGTAGGACCACGCATGGCAAATATGGCTCTGTCAGCTTTGCCCTTCCCTCCATTCCCCCTTGCCTTGCCAAAAACCCATTAGATTATATTCCTAAAGCTAGCCACCAAGATCTATTCTCTTATTTGGCCACTACTTCCATCTTAGCCTGACTACCAAGGTCCAACTATCAAGTATTGAAGTCTAACAGTCAAAATCCCCATTTTGGCTCTCCTAATTAACATGCTCAATCAAAATTAAACATCTCATCCTAACGGAGGTGGGACAGGGAGGGGTTCCCCTTTGAACTTTATAAATTGCCATTTGCCATTGGGCCATGTCTGTTTCCTCTCTCTCCAGAGGCAGTCCTTTGTCCCTCCGGGGCCAATATTCCTTTCACCCTCTCCCTTGTTCCCTTCCCTTTTTCCCTCATCCTCTATCTCCTCTCTGTCTCTTATTCCCTGACCTCTGGCCCTCTGTGGCAAATAAATCTCCTTTGTGTCAAGAACTTGGTCTTGGAGTATCTTGTGTCAACTTCAAGGTCTTTTCACTCCTGCCTCACCCTCCTCAGTGGTGAGATGATAGGAGTGTTCCACCACCATGTCTGTTTTGGCTTTTTGAGACAAAATCCTTACCATATAGTTCAGGCTGTCCTCAGACTTGAGATCCTCGTGCCTCAGCTCCCAGAGTATTGGGATTATCGGTGTTTGCAACCACACCCTGTAGCCAGCTACTTTTTCCCCTTGCTGCCTTAATTTTATGGCCTGTGATTTTATTAAATGTTTAATGTTGAAAATACATAATTGTTTTGTTTGTATGTCAGTTGCACTGAACACAATTTCTGTTGCTGGTCTAGTTGCTTCGTACGTCTGAAGCTTAAGGCCTTTAGTTGATGGTTATGAGGTAGTTTGAAGGCATTTTTTTTTCTTACATTGCTTTGAGGGATGAGATGATCAGATAAACATAACCTACATGGGTTGTCTTAGGGTTTCTATTGCTGTGAAGAAACACCATGACCAGGGCAACTTTCATAAAGAACAATATTTAATTGGGGATAGTGTACAGATTCAGAGGTTCAGTCCATTATCATCGAGGCAGGAAGCATGATAGCATCTAGACAGTAATGGCGCTGGAGGAGCTGAGAGTTTTACAACTTGTTCTGAAGTCAAACAGGAAAGATTGATACTTACTTGGCAGGGAAGATGGTCTCAAAGCCCACCCCTACAGTGACACATTTCCTCCAACAAGGCTACACTTCCTCCTAGTGCCATTCCCTGAGCTAAGCATACTTAAACCACCACATGTGCTGTGGGTATGGATCGGTGGGGAGCCCTTGCCTAGAATGGGGCCGTTCCTGGGATTTCTTCTTAGCACAGCAAGTACAAACAGACTAGATGAGTACTGTACAAAGGAGAGAGTACTGGAGTTTTTCATCTTGGTTACTGAGTCATAGCAAAGAACAGCATAAAGCAAAGGAAGATTCCAAGAAGTCACTGAAAAGAGAAGGAAATGCCCACAGAAAGTACAAGAGAAAGTAAAGACGGGGGTAGAAACCATACAGAGACTCAGAGCCCCAGGCTTGGGCATGAGAAGGCCTGAGTCCCAGTTGGAGATGGAGATTTTCTTGGAATGTTTAGAATCTGCCTTTGTTGGAAGGGAAAGGATGATGGGAGAGAGAATGTATGGTGGGGTGACACACTGCCCTGGGCTGTGTGATAGACACCAGATGACATAACATCATGTAGGAGTTCAGAACCTTTCCTTCTGCTCTGCCTGGACAAATACAGCTTTCAGAGTCTGGAAATAATTCTACTACAGATCCTAAAAAGCACAAAACAAAAACCACCTTAGGAAGAACATTTCCAACAAGTAACGAGGTGGTCAGCTGGGGTTGTCATGATGTTGAGCTGGGGATCTCTACAGATGCCAAGTGGAGGAAACTGGTCCCAATGGAGGAGAGGAGAATGGCCATCTGTGGAGCACTACAGCATGCTGTATTGAGGATGAGATGGCCTGCATCTCACATGGCCTGCATCTCATGGATGGAGTATACAGTGGCAAGACAGTATTCCTCATGCCCAAGGTCACACTGTGGAGGAGCATGAAGCAGAGCCTCACCCCTTACATCACGCTGAGCATCGTCTCAGTTTATTGAAATCTCACCTAGGGCCAAGTTCTTTATATACTTTCTTTGAGCTTTAACAGGGTTGAGCCACGTGCTTAAGTTGTCAGCATGTCAGCATTACAGAAACCTGCCACTTCCACATGACCCCAGCACCTAGAGCTAAAATTGGACCAGAGCTGAGAGCTCAGGCATCTCTTTCCTTTCCTGGTGATCTCATGGTGTAAGGGAGCGAACACTGAGTGGGCAGAGTCCAGAATAGGAAATAGACTTTTAGCTTGTACTCATGTATTCTTTTCCTTATATCCACAGCTATATTTGAGATGTCCAGAACTCAGGGGTGCAGGGTGGAGCTCAATAGTAGAGTCTGTGCTTAGCACATACAACTTGGAAACTTGGATTCAATCTCTATAACCACTCCCTTCCCAGGCTCTCTCTCTCTCTCTCTCTCTCTCTCTCTCTCTCTCTC